CGGCTATTTTGGAAAAAGCCCCTCAAGAATGCCAGTGGCATCATCAAGCCCTGCAGGTAAGAACGCGAAAATCCTACATATATCTTTTTAGTGTTTCGCTTTATATTTACTGGGTTTTCATTTTCATTCTTTTGTTTGGGGACAGAATGACATTGCTTTTAGGCCCTCCGAGTTCCGGGAAGACAACCCTTATGTTGGCTTTGGCTGGAAAGCTTGATCCTGCATTGAAGGTAAAAATAAAAATAAAAAACCATTTCTACATGGATATGAATTTTCTTTTAATCAATTCAACGTTTATTAATGAAACTAAATCTATGCGGCAGGTTTCAGGGAGGGTAACCTATAATGGACAAGGAATGGAAGAGTTTGTACCCCAAAGAACTGCTGCATACATTAGCCAACACGATCTTCATATAGGAGAAATGACTGTTAGAGAAACCATGGCTTTCTCTGCAAGATGCCAGGGGGTTGGATCCCGATATGGTTCGTTCAAAGATCAATGGATTATTATTTCTATGTTTATTTTTCGAGTTTTTGTAGTTTCAGGAGTTGGAATTCTCATTCCTTATTTACGCTGAAATATTTACAGAGATGTTAGCAGAGTTGTCAAGAAGAGAGAAAGCAGCAAATATTAAGCCTGATCCAGATATCGATATATACATGAAGGTAAAAATAAACCCTCGAATTTCATATGAACTTGATGAGAATGATTCTGATATTTAAAATACTACAGCCATGTTATTTCTGTTCAAACTAAAAACTCTAGAAAATGTTGTTACTTTGGTATTTCACAGTGGCTCATCACACAAATATAATAACATTTAGATGACGAAACTCAAATTATATGTCATTATTTGGTTCTAAACTTATAAGTCATGGAGGAAATGGAACTAAGGAGGAAAACTAGTAAAAATCTTAAATTCAGAGTTTTATAGTTTTTAGAGTATGAGTTAACTTTAAGTAAGATAGTAATAATTCTTTCTTTCTTTATTGAAAAATTTATCTACTAGGAGTAGTTGAGATAATGATAACAAGTAAACTTGAGAATTCACAGTGATAATGTTATTGACAAAATTATTGAACATATTTAAGTATCATAATATTGTAAGAGGAGTGTATAAAATGTAGAGTTTCTGTTGGAAAAACTGGAAAAAATGGCTGACTTTGGCACTAATTTTGAGCAGGACCCATTTGGCTATTTTGAAAGATGAAAGTTGATTTGTGTTCTCCTCCGTGAGTACATCGAAATCATATACTTACTTGTCAAAAATGATGCTCGGGTGAATGAGAAATTGAAGCTCAAAGTATGCCATGTGAAAGGAGTTTGTTGGTGGGAAAAAT